CGGGTACTTCTCGCAATTCGGACATACTACTCGGCTCGCATACTGGTTTTAGTGTACTATATAGTATGTAAGTATGCGGTTTCGAACGCAGCCCATGTCTAACATGCCCGAATGCAGAGTTGCTGCCCTGTAATTGGCTGATTAGAAATTTGCATTAACGAGCAGTTGGACAGGTGTACCTAATAAAGTGGCCAGTTAGTGTACATATTTAAATATAATATGAAAAAAATAATAAAAATTATATATATATATATATATATATATATATATATATATATATGTGTGTGTGTGTGTGTGTGTGTGTGTGTGTGTGTGTGTGTGTGTGTGTGTGTGTGTGTGTGTGTGTGTGTGTAAATATATTCCTTTTGTATTTTATGCACAGTATGGGTGTGTATTTGAATAGTTCAGATGCAAAAACCTCTAAGTGCCGTCTGAAATTTCTATTGAAAATGAACATTTTTCTTGTTTATATTGAGACATTTCACTTTAAAAACCAGGGAAAGACCTTATTCTCTACCATAAAAGTGAACATACACACAGGAGCCTGATATAAATGCTCTTTCTAGATCAGAATTTCAGACGGCATGTAGACGTTTTGGCTTCTAAACTCTTTGTTTAAACATGTATTCATAAACGTACACAGTATGCATGTATATATAAAGTAAATACAAACTTTTACCTTGCGTGGGTTTGATAATGATTAATCATTTGACGGCACTAATACTTATATATAAAGAAAACTGTAAAGGAGAGCTTAATTTTTTGTAATCAGACATGTGAATAACTCTGTTAATAATGCTGTAAGTATATCGATTATTCCATATGCAGGTGATAAGCCTGAGATTTGTGCACATTTGATCTGCATGCTGCACTGGACTGTGTGGACTGAAGCTGTGTATCCTCCAGTCCTGCTGTTCTTCCAGCCTGTGGAGGAAACAACGTGACTCTGTTACATCACGCTGGAGCGAGCCAGACGACACACAGACTGATGAAAGACTGGACTGTGTGCTAGCATTATCAACCGTTGACTTTATAAAAAATTCAGAACTATTTATTTCAATAAACTTCTTTGAAAACGACTCAAATGACTACTTTTTTGTTTTGGTAGCACTTTAAAATGATGGTTTATTAAATAAAGAGGACCTATTATGCCTGATGTTTTACTTTACAAGATGTAAAGTTGTTTTCAAAAGAGTGTTTCAGTCCAAAATGGCACACAGATAATGTTTTCTAACTCTCTGAACCGACCCTTTTTAGGCTTGGATCCGAATTGAGTCGTTTTTCATGACTGTCGCTTTAAATTCAAATAAGATTGTGCTCTTTTCAGAAGAGGGCGGAGCTACAGATGCCTGTGTGTCAGCATAGTGGCACATTCAAAACCGTACCACTGTTATCAGTGTGAGTCAGGTCTGCGTGTGTGCTTCAGTGTCAGTGTGTGAGAATGCGACAGTCTATGGCAGGGGTGTCCAAACTCGGTCCTGGAGGGCCGGTGTCCTGGAGAGTTTAGCTCCAACCCTAATCAAACACACCTGAACCAGCTAATTAAGGTCTTACTAGATATACTAGAAACTTCCTAGCAGGTGTGTTGAAGCAAGTTGGAGTTATGCAGGACAGCGTCCCTCCAGGACTGAGTTTTGACCCCCCTGGTCTATGGAGACTCCTGTCCAACACAGGCTCATTGTGAAAACGTACCCCCGTATACATTTTTGGAGAGCACGAATTATGTAGCCAGAGTTACGTATGGCTGGATTTCGTCTTTTAAACGAACACTACGGGGAGATATAGCGCTGCTGACGGCTTGTCTTTTTTGTTTACGCTACCAGCTGAGCGCTTACCTCCATGTGGACGGCTTTCAAGCAGTTACCAGTTTGCCCAGTGGCTCGCCGCATACGTCAGCAGACTTGAGACGCAGAGCAGTTTATTGCAATGACGGGGTTCGAGTCCGGTGAAGAACGGTTCCAGAAAGCAGTAAAAACAAGAAGCAAAAAATTAGTAGTAAATACCAGCGTGAGAATGTGGTAAGATCTGAACACATGGTAAAAATCAGACAAGGGCTGCTCTTTTTCTCAGTTGCTTTCAAAAGCAAAATTGATTGGGTTTAAGGAAGGAGGAGAGTCACTCAGTCAGTCGACAGTGGCCTCTGGTGGATTTACGCAAGAACAGCAGGTGCGGATGGCACTCACGAGAAAAATCTGAGATGTGAAAAAGCATACACAACGGCCTCTGGTGGATTCACGAAAAACAAAAACTGCAAAAAAAATAAATAAAAAAATGCACCTCCTGCGGACGTATTTGGCACTCTCCAGAAATGTATACAGGGGTACATATACACAATAAGGCTGGGTTGCTCCTGTCGCTGATCTTTTGTGCTACTTCTAAAACTCCACATCTATAATCCTCTGTCTACAGCAGCTCAAACACTCTTATGGCTAATGGACAGACGGCTGCTTCTCACTCAGGGCTGCTGTTTATGCTAATGAGGGAGAGATGATTGCACTAGTGGGTGGGGCTAATTAATTTAGAGGCTGGATATATTCACACTCTGGTGACACACAACTGTGATTAAACCCCTTATAAGAGATCTGTGCATAATAGCTC